GAGGTGAAGATAGCTTGCAAGATAACATATGCNCACTGGCAGCTGTCAGAGATAATAACTAAATCAATATTGACCAAAAATCTTCCTAATAATACCAAATTTCTCTATTACAATCAAATGAAAACTAGTCTTTATTGTGCCCACAAGAAATGTTGACCGACGGACAGGGGCAACGACAATATACGACCACATGAACTTTTGCTTATCGAGTAAGCCCAAGCCTTTATATCCAGATCAAAGAAAACTGTTATTTTAAATATAATTTGAATATTATTTATTACACTGGTTTTTAATGACAAATACAATATTTTCTTAACAACAATTGGAATTTTAAAAAGCACAGTTTTATTTTATAAAGTTATTTGAATAAACTTCTCTGTAGTCTCTGTTAATTAGTTATACTTTAAAGAGGATTAATTTCATAAAATTTTCAACCAATAATATAATTATAAACAATGATTTAGCTAGACAATAATAAATATATTCCCAATAAAAGTGTTATATACAATTCCATCAAATTAAACTTTAAGCAATAGCAGAGGCTAATATTTCTGAAACATTAGGATCAGATGAGCGGACTGTCAACTGCATGGTCACACCACTGTCATCTGTCAGAGCTAGTTTAGCACGAACCAAAGCATCATGACCTCCTCTGAACACTCCAGCTAAATACAGAGTATGGGAGGACTTTCCCTCTGGAACTTTATCTGAACGTTCACATGGCTGCATACCAAGATACAGCACAATATTCTTAACAGCTTCTGTAAATAAACAAGTACATTCTTTAAATCTGATGTTTTTCAATATTGAAAGCAAATCCATCACAGAAAAGCCGTTAAAATCAAATCATACAGGGTTCATACAGCACTTTGCCTCAAAAATTCAAGGACTTTTCAAGGACTCTGGGCTTTGAAATTCAAGGACTTTAATAATATTCACAACAAATTTCATTTAAATGGGATAAAAGCTGTAGTCTATAATGTGTTCACAAGTCAACTGTGGACGGATCCATTATAAAGTGGGCGTATGAAGAATAACCATTTCGAGACTTCCTCATAGACCTTAATTTGAAGATTCTCTTTTCACTAAATCTTAATTTTCCTTTTTTTGGAGCTTTGCAATTCAAAACGTCAAAGAACTTGGAAGAAAATGTTTATGGTCTATAAAACCACAACAATAAGCATAGCTTTTAAAATACAGACTATAAACCAAAAAAGGATCAAAAGGCACTGACCTTCCAGGGAGTTCATACTAGAAAGAGCGTAGGTATCTTCCAATTCATTTTCTGGACCAACTTCTTCCCATGAAGCTCCAAAGTTAGGTTTAATAACCCTCTGTACATGGTCAGCTACTGTTACTTCTACATCTTCAAGCTAAAATATACACAATTCAGACAATCTGAATGCTTCCATACCAACCTCTATATAATAAACATCCAATACATATTTTAAATTGGTTACAAAAGCTGAAATATTATTAAACAAACACAATCGCATCAAGGTTCCTACAGTAGGGTTGTTTATTTTGTCAGTCATGTCTGATCACATTTCCAAATTGTTTGCATGTGACCAACAATTTTGTTCTTTTCAAGATCAGACTTTTTACTGACTGAGATTAAAACTCACGTCAACTTTTTGTTTAATGCAATAAAGCAAATAGGATCAAGATTCTAGAGCTTCCAATGTCCTTATTTGTGCCTCTTTCTGGAACAATCGAATGAGAGGCTCATAACAGAAAATTACTGAAAAGATGATGGTGACATATGAAGGAATAGTCTATATGAAGTTATCAGACATTCCATCAAAGCCTTTAATGATGTTTAATATGATTTGTTATGAGTTAGTGGGATGGAAAACAATGCTACCATTTTCTGTTTGTGGTATGAGCCTCATTCTGGATTCAATACGGCTGACAAGTGAATAAGGTCTATAATGAAAGGAGAAGTAAGAAGAAAATCTTACCACATATTCATCTTCATAACCTTCATCATCTGGTTCTCCTGTATTAGGATCACAATCTTTCACTATAAACTTTAATGAACATGTGAATGTTCCTGTCACTGAAATCAAAATATTAAACTATTTGAAAAAGGCAAGACTTAAAAAGGTAGAAGTTGTCTTAAATAAATCTCTTATTAGAGAATCTAATTTCTGGTGAGAATCTGCCTAGATTGTCTAACAGAAATAATTAACTTAATGTATGCAAGAATTGTGTTATACACATGGATTTGAATGCTCAAAATTCAACGGGTGAGCTGTAAACACTATTACTGATTTGCTTAGCTAAAAAAATCCCAGTTTCTGAGACTAAAGTATGTTTAGTCAAAGGTTGGTGAACTTGTCCCTTAAAGGAAATTTCTAGATTGTGCTTCAACTTTCTAATTTAATCGCACACTCACCTGCAGTTGGTTCTTCCGGTAATCTGATAAGTGTGTAGGTTATACCAGGTTTATCATAGGGTAAACTAGCACATTTTACATACTTCATTACTTCAAATCCATCTCCACCTTCCATATGTACTGTCACATTCTCTAGGACTTGATCATTCAGAGTGTTCGTACAGTCAAACTGAAACCAAATATACACCATAATTATACATCATTAACCAATGAAAACTATCTTTCAGGTTTAGCATGTACAGTAGAAACTGTATTAAGAGACCACGCAGGGGAAAATTCAAAAACAGTCTCTTACTGGAGGTGGTCTCTTATGAAAGAATTGAGATCAGTTGCTAATTTCAAAGCCTTGGCCTTTAACAATGGTCCATTTACTACGGCATTCCGGGCTCAACAATCTTTAAAAAACTCCCATGTTAATTTGTTGATTTCTTCATTGCCGGTGAACCGCTTCACGCGATTCCGATCGGGAGAAACATTGCTTTCAAAATCCTCCATAATTTCTGCTTTACGCTTCAGAATTCCCTGAATTTGAGCCTTACCAACACCTATTTCATCGGCAATTTGTCGACCACTTTTCCCGGCTTTCGCCAAGTTGATGACCTTGAGCCTTTCATTTAATGTTAAAACTTTATGTGTTGGCTTCGACATTTTAAAAATGAATGGGTCTTGCTTAGCTGCCTTTCTATCGATAATAGACTGACATAAATCATTAACAAGCTATAAAATTAATCCTTAGACCGATTAGCGATAATCTCGATTCATCTCACCGATGTGTGAAACAACGTGATGTTGGATCAAGGGAGTTAATAAGTGTCATGGTCGCTTAATTGACTCAATATGATTACACGGGAGTGTAAATACACAGTTGCTGGTCGTGTAATGAAGGTGGTCGCTTATCAGTCGTTAATTACATTGAAAGCTCGTAGGGGAGATTTTATTGTGGTGATTGCTTAATAAAGGTGGTCGTGTGAGCAGGATATACTGTACCAGGATCAAGAATAGTGAAAATTCAACAAGCCTGAATTAGATTCATGGTTTTGATTGAATAATAATTAAATCCTTGGCCAATCAAAGCTTGTTTTGTTGTACTGATAGTTGGTAGTGAATTTGCATAGTTATTAACCCGTCCTAAAAGTTCATATCATTTTTATAAACCAGTGTTATGAAACTGAGAACAGTACTGTTGTGTGATAAATCCTCCTATTGAAAGATAGTATTAACAGCAAGTAATAGCAATCTATGATAAAAATACTACTGTAACTATACAGCAAGCTCAGGGTGATTATTACATTAATACTTAATTCACTTTTACATTGCAGTTGGAGAAAAATACTATTTAAAAGATTACCTGAAAGACTACATAATGACTAAATGTATGTTTAACACACTGTATAACATACTCAGTCTCAGATTCTGTCAACTCTACTGGTTGAGATGATCTAAATAGTGGTCCAAGATTAGCTAACTCTGGTACACCTGATAATTGCTCTGAAATTATAAAGATTATCAGAAATAACTACAATACATCAAAAAGCATAATTTTTAGTTTTATGTCAAATTTAGCCAGGACAGCACACTTACAAACGGATTACTGAAGGTCTAGATATTTAAAGGGAAACTCAATAATACCTGAAAATATTTCTAAAGTATGTTGTTTTATATCTTCTTGATCAAACTGAATTTGTTTTAAAAGGGTTAATACCAATAGAAAAAAGAGTGTACCAATTGTTAATTAAGCAGTTTGACCTAATTCGCTGTTTGACTCTTTAATGGCTCATTATATTTAGTTGAAACTTTTAGAATACATAGGAGACATATTTCTCTATAATTAGGCGTTTATTTTATTCCTTACAGTAGATTTTAACAGCTTCCAAAAAATATAACAAATTTAAAAACCTTAAGGGCACATTTCTTTACATTTTGGTGTATAGTTTTTCACAAATTTGAGCAAAAAAAGCTGAATGGTACTTTAAATCATGTAGAGTGTAGTATTGCACAATGCATTAGTTATCTATTCCATCCAATCGGAGATGCCTAACTTCAAGTCCCCTCAAATCATACTGCTCCTAACTCTACATCACCAGAAATTAAATGTGTTCTATTTCATTTTGTAATAATTTAAGATTTTTCTCGTTGTCACTATACAATTGACCAACTTTTATATAGGGCTTCAATAGTTCAATCTACATGGCCATACATTACCCAAAATCTATTTAAAAAGACAGTTTGATGGCTGAATAGAAAGTATCTGGATACATTTCACAATGTCTGTACACAAACATTAAGCTAGCCTACTTACAAGTCAGTAATTCCATCATTTCCTCTATAAATACAAAGGTCAGCAAGTAAAGGTAACTATAAGTTAAATACCTGCATAAACATCAATTCTGGAGGCTACAGGTTTCTCCATGGATTTCGGTACTCCCATATCTCCTGTCTCACGAGATGTCACTAAAATAAACAATACAAATTTTACACTTTATAAACAATAACATATAAACTTCAGCTGTTAGTTGACAATTGAGAGGAGAAAGCAGAATACAAGCGACAGATGGAAACTGATGGCTACTTTGTCTTGTAGGTCATCCGAGACCCTGACTGGTTGGTAGATGACAAGAAATATCAAGAGATGTATCTTGATCAAAGCAATAAAATTTCTATTTATTAATAAGATAGCATACCTGTTTTCTGTTCTGTCATTGGTTGTGTAGCTAATGGTACAGATTTCAAGTCAAATGGTGTATCAGAAGGTTCTAATGTATAATTATGAACAGCTCTCTCCAATCCTACCACTGATACTTGTAGTCCTAGGTAAAAAACCATCAAAATTGTATTATCATAGACTGAAAACCTCAACATAAGCTTGAAGAAATAAATTGAAATAAAATTGAATTTTACATCCCACATTTCAGTTGCAGTGCAGCAAGAGACATTACTTATAATAATAATTGGTATTTTTAGAGACATTACCAATAATAATAATTTGGTACTTTTAGAGACATTACTAATAATAATAATTTGGTACTTTTAGAGACATTACTAATAATAATAATTTGGTACTTTTAGAGACATTACCAATAATAATAATTTGGTACTTTTAGAGACATAACCAATAATAATAATTGGTATTTTTAGGGACATTACTAATGATAATAATTGGTATTTTTAGAGACATAACCAATAATAATAATTGGTATTTTTAGGGGCATTACTAATAATAATAATTGGTATTTTTAGAGACATAACCAATAATAATAATTGGTATTTTTAGGGACATTACTAATGATAATAATTGGTATTTTTAGAGACATAACCAATAATAATAATTGGTATTTTTAGGGACATTACTAATGATAATAATTGGTATTTTTAGAGACATAACCAATAATAATAATTGGTATTTTTAGGGACATTACTAATAATAATAATTGGTATTTTTAGGGACATTACTAATAATAATAATTGGTATTTTAAGAGACATAACCAATAATAATAATTGGTATTTTTTAGAGACATAACCAATAATAATAATTGGTATTTTTAGGGACATTACTAATGATAATAATTGGTACTTTTAGAGACATTACCCATAATAATAATTTGGTACTTTTAGAGACATAACCAATAATAATAATTGGTATTTTTAGGGACATTACCGATAATAATAATTGGTATTTTTAGGGACATTACTAATGATAATAATTGGTATTTTTAGAGACATTACCAATAATAATAATTTGGTACTTTTAGAGACATAACCAATAATAATAATTTGGTACTTTTAGAGACATAACCAATAATAATAATTGGTATTTTTAGGGACATTACCAATAATAATAATTGTTATTTTTAGGGACATTACCAATAATAATAATTTGGTACTTTTAGAGACATTACCAATAATAATAATTGGTATTTGTAGAGACATTACCAATAATAATAATTTGGTATTTTTAGGGACATTACCAATAATAATAATTTGGTACTTTTAGAGACATTACCAATAATAATAATTGGTATTTGTAGAGACATTACCAATAATAATAATTGGTATTTTTAGGGACATTACCAATAATAATAATTGGTATTTTTTAGGGGCATTACTAATGATAATAATTGGTATTTTTTAGGGACATTACCAATAATAATAATTGGTATTTTTAGGGACATTACCAATAATAATAATTGGTATTTTTAGAGACATTACTAATAATAATAATTGTTACTTTTAGAGACATTACCAATAATAATTTGGTATTTTTAGGGACATTACCAATAATAATAATTGGTACTTTTAGAGACATTACCAATAATAATAATTTGGTATTTTTTAGGGGCATTACCAATAATAATTTTGGTACTTTTAAGGTCATTACTTTAAATAATAGTTAGTATTTTTTGGGAAATTACTAAGAATCATATTCGGTACTTTTAGGGACATTGCTGATATTTGGTTTCTTTAAAGACATTATTTATAATGATAACTAATAATAAAATTTGGTACTTTTAAGGACATTACTTATAATAGTTGGTACTTTTAGGGACATTACTAATAACATTTGGTACTTTAAGGGACATTACTAATAATAATAGTTGGTACTTTTAGAGACATTACTGATAATATTTGGTATTTTTAAAGACATAATTTAAAATGATACTTGGTACTTTAAGGGTCATTACTAATAACATTTGGTACTTTAAGGGAAATTACTAATAATAATAGTTGGTTCTTTTAGAGACATTACCTAGAATCATATTTTGTCATTGCTAATAATAATATTTGGTAATTTAGGGACATTACTAATAATATTTGGTACTGTTAAGGACATTATCAATAATCATAGTACTTCAAAATGCCACCATTTTACCAGACAGGAATATCAATTTTGGTGGTGTTTATTGTCATATATATCACATACACAGTCTTGTCTCAAAAGAATTTACATAAAACTCCATTTAGTTCATTTCAGGAGCATTTATAAAGAATCACTCAGGCAAAGTTAAAAAGAAATACACCCTACTCACCATTAAGAATATAAGCTGAATTTAGAGATTTTTGTTGTTGTTTTAAGATACTAGTATAGAAGGTAGCTCTATCTCTTACTTCATCATCACTATCTAACTGACACCTAATAATAAATAATT